AAAATCATCTAACTACAATTTTTAAGAATGTAGCCATATTGTTAAGTGACACATGATTATAAGGAATGAAATTCTCTCATATTCACACTTCATGACTAAATCTGGAAGCAAAACAGCCACTTGCTGCGGCCCATTTTTATTTAGTGAATAAACTTGAAATCCGTATATTTATGCTAGGTACTACTGGTCAGTCAGTGGTGAACAGATATGATTTCTCTCCTTATGAGGATATGATTCATTGTGAGAGATGGTAAATAAATATGCCAATAAGCATGGTATTATAACTTGTACTAAATGTCATGAAGGAAAAAGTGTAGTATAGCATGGGGAATAGTAACAATGGTAGTCAAGGAAGACCTCTCTGAAGGAAAGTTTAGAAAGAGTCATCCTTGCAAAAACTTGGGGAAGTAATGTGAACACAGAACAATATGTTCAGAGGTCCTACAGCAAAACAGAGTTGTTATTTGAAGAACTAAGAGAAAGCTGGTCTGTAAGAAAGTAGTGAAATTGGAGACTTAGTGTGGTGTAGTTTGGTGTAGTTCTCTCTGAACCTACGAAGATCAACATCTGGATTAATACCAGAAATAATTGTTAAATTTAACACTTTCCTGGTTACTATTTGATAATCTGGACTATATTAGCAGGTGATGTCATACTGTATGTGGTATCCCTGTCTTGGTATTTTTAGCTATAAAATGGGGTTAAATATAACCAAATCAAGATGCAAGCATTAAATATTTTATAAATTTGGCAGTGTGGCATAGTAATTTGAAGCTAACTGTAAATAAAAAAAATTTGTGATCTTTTATTCATCCTCAGTAATTGACTTCTTAAAGATATGTTTCTCCATGGGAATACTATTACTTACCTTCCAAGGTTATTTTGAGAGAAATACCATTCTAGGTGTGTCATGAATAGACAGTTTTAATACTCAGGTTTTTTTTTTTTTTTTAAGTGACCATATTACTCAGAATCATTAGTGGCTGAGTCTGCTAACATATTTGATTGAGTTTTCCTTCTGTCAGACTGGTATTCTTTTATACAGGCATACTGCTTTGCCAGTTGGCAGTATTTCTATTTTTCCCCTAAAATAGTAGGAATTGACATAAAAATAAAAATAATTATATAGAAATATTTATAGTAAATACAGAAATACTAATAGAGGGGTGGGGATGAAAAAATACTAATAGAAATACTTATAGTAAAAAGCTGACTATTATTGTTTTGCCTTTAAGAATACATGTTTTGCACGTGGTTATAGATAAATGGTGGTAAACCAGACCAAATATATTTACTATACACTTTTTGTAGCAAACTAAGAGAATTTAGGTTCCTAGTACCAGTGTGTTTATTTTAGAAAAAGTCACATAAGGCCAAAGTTAGCTTTTCTAATATTTTTCTCAAAGTATTTCAACATTTGTACAGACTTTGTATTTTTTATGCACTTTAAATAACTTTCTTTGAAATTGTTTTTCACTATTAGAATACTTTAAATTATCTAAAAGTATTTAGTAAAATTCTTGAAATATAATTGAATTTTAGATAAATTGTATCAAATGTTAAATTTTTGTTCTGAATGAGATTTTTTTGTATCTTCATAAAGGAATTTGGATGCTTAAATTAGTATGCACCAATTTTAATTTTAAATTTTGTAATGCCATGGATTGTGAAAACTATTTCAGTTTCCTTTACTGTTTTCATTTTATTCCCTACTAACAATAGCTGTGGTAGTACAGGACCTTGCTGGAACCTTCAGTAAGTTGGTCTTTTCTTTTTCAAACTTCTCATCAGTTATCCATGCATGTCAGTAGTGACATCTAAATCATACTTCCAAGAATTTAATGTTGTCATTCCATTTCCTGCACAAACTTACCCGATACTTTACAAAGTGAAATGTCCTTCCCATTCCATGCTTATGTTACTCAGTGCACATTTCAGCAGCAACTGAAATGGCTCTTAAATGAAAGATAGCATTTTTCAATTTATATTTTGTCTTTTGAATGGGTTTGCTATCTCCAGGAACTCAGACTTTTTTAGTGGCATAAATCACTGCTCATGTAGATACGTGACTTATATGTTAAAATTGCTTTCTGCATGAATGTCAGTTAGAAATAATACAAATATTACCAGTTCTGGAATTATTTCTGACAATATTAACTTTTTAATATCATTGATCATATTATAGACATGGTATTACTTCACTGATTAAATGTAATCAGTATCTAATAAGGCTGTATTATGAAGTATTACAGTTGTAAAATTGAGAAGTTGTTTGATCTTTAATTACATGATAAAATACTATGAAAAGCTCTCACAAAATGACTTGTATCTCTGAGTATTCTTAGAACTGTCTCATTGTTTTCTTATATAAATTAAAATATCTGTGAAGAACATTTTGTTATATTTATGAGAAAGTAAGAAATCTTGAGGTCTCAATGAAATTGTATTTGCATTAAATATCCCAAACTTTGTACCAACTAGTAACTGTTAGAAAAAGTGTTATTTTCTAAACAAAGAATTTCATAATCTGCTCTTCATGAATAGCACCATAGGAAGGCACAATTCAGGTTCTGCTTTTATGATGTCTCACTTTACAAAACAACCCATTAAATATTGTATTCTCTGGGAGCTTCCATAGTGCTTGAGGCCTTCCTGTTCAAGTCTACCACATAGCCCAGTTGGAATCTGACAACTGTTTTATAGGAAATTAGTATACCATTCTGTTTCAGTAATGGATAGGAACAGGGAACAGAATATTACCAAAATTTTTAGGTTCATGAGCCCAGTTCAGTTAGGTTATTTAGGTTTTATAAGAAAGCCATCTACTGAATTATCTGTTTATTGATTTATTTTGATAAATTTCTGAAACATTTAAGGGAGAAGTGAAAAAAATTTTATTTTGATTTTTCCTTTAGTCATTATTCATTATCCCTTGATAATGTACGAGCTGAAGCTTATTCTTTGTTTTCTCTTCTGTTCACAATTACGCCATTATATAAAAAACATTGGTGTTCTGAAAGCCTTTTCAACTTAATTCCATTAGTAGGGTTTTGTTTTCTGCCTAGGATTCACTTCTTAAATCTACTCTTTCAATACAATTTGTTTTTTCTTGCCTATAATTCCCCCTCCTACCACCACTTCTGCAAAAACATAAATTAAGACATTTTAAAGAGGGGCCTCCCTTGGTGGCGCAGTGGTTGAGTGCTGGGCTGAGAAGCTGCCCGCAGCCTCTGCAGCACCGGTTCTATCCCCAGCCAGCTGGGCGAGGGTCCCACATGGCGCGCACTCTCCTGCTGTGCCCACTGCTCCCCTCAGCAGTGTATTTCGCCAGTCTGCCTGTTCTGTTCCCCGCTCTGGCTCTGGTGAATTCTCTCACCCTCCCGCGCTTCTGACTGTACCCAGTGCTTGTATAAATAAATAAATAAATCTTTAAAAAAAAAAAAGACATTTTAAAGACTTGGTGTTCTTAGCGTATAATTGTTAAAATGTCATTTTTCCAATTCTATTTAAGTTCATAATGTCAGATAATTGTGATATCAGGATTGGGTCCACATGCCAGCAGCTCACACATGTAGATAAAATTTGTATAATATTAAAGATATTTTATATGTTTGCACGGTATAGTTTTCTTCTGAGGAAGAAGAATTATTTCAGTTTAGCTTCCAAACGCTGATCTGGAATGATGGTATAAGGAGGTACAAAAAATAAAAGAAAATAATAAAAAACAATAACAAAAGAAACCCCAGAAAAAACAAAATAATAATTAAAAAAGGCACAATGTACCATCTTTCTGATTAAAAAATACATTAATAAAAAGATATAAAAATATATTTAAAAATAAACTTATTAAAATTTAAAAAAACAAAAATACATTAATAAATCTTTTTTACCTTTTTAATTTTTCCATTCAATTAAGCAGATCTGCATATTCTTTTATTTAAAATTAATTTCAACTTTCAGGAAGTATTTTATTTTATTTATTTTTTATTTTTTTATTTTTTATTTTTTTAAAGATTTATTTTTTATTTATTTATACAAGCACTGGGTACAGTCAGAAGCGCGGGAGGGTGAGAGAATTCACCAGAGCCAGAGTGGGGAGCAGAGCAGGCAGAAGGACTGAAGCACACTGCTGAGGGGAGCAGCGGGCGGCAGGAGAGGTCTGCGCGCCATGTGGGACCCTCCTCCGGTAGCCGGGGAGCAGCCAGGGATTGAACCGGCGCCGCAGAGGCCGCGGGCAGCTTCGCAACCCAGCGCTCAACCGCTGCGCCACCTGGGAGGCCCCTCAGGAAGTATTTTAATCTGATAACTTTTTAAATTTATTGACTATCTAATTCCTAGGTATTATCACAAAACTTAAATTTAAGTCAATTAAATTATTTTTCCTTTTTTTCAAGATAAACTTCAGAATTTGCATGTGTTTTTCTTTTTGTCTTTAAGAATATTTTGTTCTTCCATCAGTGTGTTTAAGGTTGAGTAGAGAATTTTTGTTCTACTCTTCGTATTTTTCTTAAATATTGTTAATACTTTTATTTAGTTTTGGGGGGGGTTTAAGATTTTTTTTAAAGTCTATTTTCAACATTGAAACAGCATATTTATACAATAACCTATTTTAAATATTTCCAGATTTAGCACAAATTAGTCACTAGATTGTTATTGTGACTTTAGTTTTTTTTTAAAAAAATATTCTCTTCGGGGAAAAAAAGAATTTCTAGTGCTTAAATTAAAAAAAAAAAAACTTAATATTTTAGGATGAACAGAGATTTTTTTAAAAAAGTTTCATTGGACCTGTAAAATAAAACTTGAGCAAAATTAAATTATAATTCAGGGATTGTTATATACTATAAGGCAACAGTTCCTTTCATGGGGACTTTAATGGAAATGTTAGAAACTGCCCGTGTGTTTATAATAGCAGAGCTGATGATTTCCCTTTAGGTGATTAAAAACTTTTACTCGAATATTTTCATGCTGTATGAAGAATTTTTCTCATTTGTAACTTACAGCTTACCAGCCCTACGACAGGACGGAGCCCCAGCCACCCAGGAGAGGACGCAGTGGTGTCTTTTGCTGATATTGGATGGGTAGCCGAAGAAGAAGGAGAGTGTTCAATGAGACAAAGGTTAGTCTGAAAGGCAGTAAGAATCAAGTTGCAATATTTTTTTATTTTGTAAGATAATACATATGCAGTATTTTCTTTTAAATAGCCTGAATAAGTACAGCACTTATTAATTACTGTCTTACTGAGCAGAGGAATCAGTTTAGTGCAGGTCACTCAAAGGAATTTGTGTAATCATTGGAGATTGTGTCTTAAAAACTGAATCAAGATGAGTTGATTCAATGTGTTAATAGTTAAAGAAGTACCTACATTTATTTGAAAGAATCTGAATAAGTTGCTGACTATTTCCATCTAGTAAGTATTAATTCGGTGTATTTAATTCTTCATTCTTACTTAGATAACAAGGATACAGAGATTCAAGTAAGACATAGTAATAGCTTTCTAGGGATACTTGGTGTGCTTAGAGAAGATTGGGAAGAAAATCAATATTGATACTCTATAATAAAGTCTAAGAAGTACAGTTACTAGACCTGATACCCTCATCAAGGGCCAATAGGAGCCAATCAAATAGAAAGGCTGAATCTCAGGGAAAGTGAATGCATTTAAATGTACTAATCAGGAGAAAACACGTTTTGGGAACTCCAGATGGCTCAGTGAAGCTAGAGAGTAGCAGAAAAGGGTAAGCTTCAGGATATGAATGTGAAGATTAGGTAGGAGGCTAAAGGTCTTCCATGTTAGACTTAAGAAATTTGGACATTTTACTGAAAGCATTGTGGAGCCGTGGAAGAAATTTAAACGCCACAGTGATAAAATTTGTTAAAAAAAAAAAAAGAAACTTGCATAATTCTCTAGTGATCATCCAGATTATCATGTATGCCTGTAGTTCCTTTTTTAGTACTAAGTAGTGTTCCTTGGTATGGACAGAATAGTTTGTTTAACCATGCACCAGTTGATGGACATCTGGAGTGATTCCAGTTTTCAGCTATTATGAATAAAGTTTCTATAAACATTTGTGTACAGGATTTTTTTTTCTTTTTTTTTTTTTTAAGAGTAACTCCTTTATTTTTTATTTATTTATTTTTATTTATTTTTAGATTTATTTATTTATTTATACAAGCACTGGGTACAGTCAGAAGCGCAGGAGGGTGAGAGAATTCACCAGAGCCAGAGCGGGGAGCAGAGCAGGCAGAAGGACCGAAGTACGCTGCTGAGGGGAGCAGCGGGCAGCAGGAGAGGTCTGCGTGCCATGTGGGACCCTCCTCTGGTGGCCGGGGAGCAGCCGGGGATTGAACCACCGCCGCAGAGGCGCAGGCAGCTTCGCAACCCAGCGCTTAACTGCTGCGCCACTGGGAAGGCCCTGTGTACAGGATTTTGATATAAAATTTCCCTCTAAAAAGTATGAAGAATAGAAGAGAGCCAGTTTAACTAACTTAAGAAAATGACAGAAAACATGGAGAAGAGTACAAAGTCTTGAGAGACTAGGAAGAACTGAAGTTGTTTAGATATGAGAGTTAATAGAAGAGTATAGGGTAATTCTGACTAGGATAATTATGAAAATGATGGAATAATTAGTAAAAACATAGGAAAACAGATTTTTTTGGTGGGTGGAAGTAGGAAGAAGCATTTCAGTCTGGGGTATGTTGTGTTTGAATTACTATGGGACATTCACAGTGTTGTAGAAACAATTTTATGTGTCTAGATGCTGATGAGAAAAGCTTGTATGTCAATGTGAAGATACAGTGGCTATCAATCACAGTGTTCAAGGAACACACACTCACACACGTAACATGCAGAACAAATGTATCCTGTCAGCATTTAGTTAATTAAAAAAATAAAGAGAGGACCCCATCTCCAAGAAGCAGCTCAAGAGACAGCAGCAGAAAGTGTTATGGAAACAGAGGTAGAAGATAATCATGGAAGGGGAGGGAATAAACTAGTTATCATTGTCAAATACTTGGAGGCCAGGTAAAGCAAAAACTAGCAAGTTTTAATTTTGTTTTGCAGTTGGAAGATTATCATTGACTTTAGCAAGAGTAATTATATTTGAGTGGTATTAGCTGGATAAAATAAGAATCAAGTAATCCAAGAGCAAAGAAGGAATTTGATTTGAATGACAAGTAGAAGTGAGGACATAGCAGTAGATGAACAAAGACGAGGTATTGAAGGATTAGCAGGTAAAGAGCCTTTCTTTTTTAAGATGTTTATTTCCTTGATTAAACTTCTCATTTTGAGATAGAGATTCGTCACATGCAGTTGTAAGCAGTAATACAAAAACATTCCCTGTATCCTTTATCCACTTTCCTCCAGTGGTAACATCCTGCAAAACTGTAGCACAATATTATAATCAGGATATTGATATTGACACTCAGAAAGTCAAGATGCATAGTGTCTTTATACTATAAGTAACTGACATGGTACCTGTTATAGTCATACCTATTTCCCTTTCCAACTTTTCCTTAATTAATAATGAAATCCTTATACTGTATTTTCATACTTTTGCCATTTAAGAATGTTATATAAAGATGTAGTAGTTTTTAGCGACTATGAATAAGCTTGTGATTGATTGCTATCCTTTATATCTCTTTGGGTAAATGTCTCTTGGCTTTAGCCCACTAATTCATTTAAGATGAGAAATCCTGGGCTTCCCCGGTGGTGCAGCGGATTGAGTGCAGCACTGTGAAGCTGTCTGCAGCCTCCCCAGCATGGGTTCGATTCCCGGCAGCCGGCCAGGGAGAAACCCACATGGTGCAGCAGACCTCTCCTGTTTCGCCCGCTGCTCCCTTCAGCAGTGTTTTCGGTTGTCTGCCTGTTCTGCTCCCCGCTCTGTCTCTGGTGAATTCTCTCACTGTACAGTGCCTGTGGCTATAGCCCAGTTCTTGTATAAATAAATAAATCTTAAAAAAAAAAAGAGAAATCCTCTGTCACAGGCTTCCATCTGTAGATAAGGTGCTCTTTTTAGCTACTTTAAAAACTTTTGGTCATTAGTTTTCAGAAATTTGAGTAAGATATTTCTTGATATAAAGTTCTTTTTCAGCCTTACCCTCTTTCTCTTCTCCTTCTTGTGCTCTGAATACACAAATATGAGATCATTTGTTGTTGGCCTGACATTCTGTGTTGTTTTTTTTTTTTAAGGCTGCCTCCTCCTCCCCAACTAGATAATTACCACTTTTTCCTCTGTCTTTTGCATTCTGCTTTTGATTCCACCAACTGTATTTTTATTATAGTTGTACTTTTTGGTCCTAGATTTTTTTTATTTGGTTCTCTTTTATATCCCTGTTTCTTTGGTAAGACTATTTTTTCATTTGTGTCAAGTGTGTTGGTAGTTACTCATTTGAAGCCTTTTTATCATAGCTGCTTGTCTGTCGATAAGTAACATCTCTGGCATCTGGTGTGTCTTCTCATTCAGTTTATATTCTTTCTGGTTCTTGATATAAGGAGTGCTTTTTTATTAAAACATAGATTTGGGTGGTATATAAGACTCTGGGTTTTATTTAATCTTTTTGGGAAGCTGGCTTTTTCTGATAGCACTCTGGCAGAGAAGATTGGATACCATCTTACGGCATGCCATGTGGCAGCAGAAAATCAGGTTTACATACCAAATAAACCCAAGATTGATGTGGTAGCAGGTTTGCATGTATATTATTTTTATTTTTAAATTTTTATTTTTTTTAATTTTTAAATATTTATGCATACAAGAACTAGGGTACAGGCCAGAGTTGCTGGGGGTGGGGTGGGGTGGTGAGAGGATTCACCAGAAACGGAGTGGGGAACAGAACAGGCAGACCAACTGAAATACACTGCTGAGGGGAGCAGCAGGCTAGCCAGGAGAGGTCTGCTGCGCCATGTGGGTAGCTCTCTGGCCGGCCAGGGATCGAACTCGTGCAGCAGAGGCTGCGGATTGCTTCATAGTGCTATGCTTTTACCCCCTTGCACTACCAGGGAGGCCCTTTATTTATTTTTAAATATCTAGATACACCCACCATAGTGCACCCAACACCAAATCACTCATAGTCCATGACCATGGCCCATTATGCTTCTTTCCCTCTTTGTTTTTACCCTTTTCGTATCCCCTTCTCCTCCTTGTTGCTTTAGTTCTATAGTCAGCTTTCAGGGGTTAGTTTTCAGGTTGTCCTTTATCTTTTAATTTAGTTACTTTATATTCCACACATTAGGTACACCATCTGGACTTTATCTTTTTCCTTTAGATTTATTTCACTTAGTATGATCCCTTCCAGCTCTATCTATGTTGCCACAAATGGCATACTATATTTTAAATAGTATGACAGAATAAAAAGATGAGAATTAATGGTATTTTACTTTGATAGTTATTGAATACTTGTATTCTCACCAAGTAAAGATTTTTTTTTTTAATCTGTCACCTTTATTACTTGCATTCCTATGGGAATTTTTATAATTTATATTTTAAATCTTAGAAACAACGAATACATTTAAGACATATCAGATATTGTAGTTTCAGTCTTTCTCTGCCTCTCACGTTTGTATTTGTATGAAATCCTGTTGTATTCAAGGTATTTTTTACTTCTCATGAAATTTATGCGAATGACATTTCTGTCATGTTATATTACATTAGTTATAATGTTGTGGTTATTAGTTATCTGGGAAAATATACATAAATTGTTCATAATTATTGTACATATGAATTTTTAAAATGCTCTGAGCTTCCCTTTTTTTTTTTTCATTAAATTAATTGGAACTTGCCTTGAGGTGAGAACTTTAAAAGGTACCATGAGGAAACTCTTAGCAAAGTGGCATGCACACAGTAAGGTCTCATTTTTTTTTTTTTTTAAAGATTTATTTTTATTTATACAAGCACTGGGTACAGTCAGAAGCGCGGGAGGGCGAGAGAACTCACCAGAGCCAGAGCGGGGAACAGAACAGGCAGACCGACGAAATACACTGCTGAGGGGAGCAGCAGGCACGGCAGGAGAGGTCTGTGCGCCATGTGGGACCCTCGCCGGGGGCCGGGGATCGAACTGGCGCTGCAGAAGCTGCAGGCAGCTTCTCAGCCCAGCGCTCAACCGCTGCGCCACCAGGGGAGGCTC